AAATTTCTGTTAAATTCTATTTGAGCAGGTAACGACCAGATTGCGTTTACGTAATATGTAAATATTGTTGGTTTAGATTTTGTAGTAAATAGAAAGATATTTACAACATCAATTAAACCTGATGAATATTAGTTAAACATAAAGAATATAGAAAACTTTGCACTGGGTTAAAATTATCCACTTTTTTTGAGTTTTTGTACTTCAGTGTCTGTTTTCTTGTAAAGAATAATAATCATCCGCCTAAGGAACAATTTTGACTCAGTAAATTTGTAAATGGATGATCTAGCTGACGTCACAATTCATGCGCTGACCTGCTAAATTTTGCTAGTACTAAAGGTTTTTCTATCGGATAATGTAGCTGACCTTGAGAAAGCTGCGAGTGAACTACATAGATGACCTGAAGATTTATGCTAGCGAATGACTACATGGACATAGTCTGATCTGGGGCTGAGGAACTTAATCTCTCAGGTTTTTTAAATACATTTCAATCAGAATGTATACTTTTATAACTTTTGAAGTTAAGTATCCAGCATATGTAATTTTTAAGAATTAAACATTTATTCAAATTTATTGTTATGCAAGGCATACACGTATCTAAATTGCTTAGAATTTAGACTCCTTACTAGTTCACCCCATGGCAGTTGTTGTTCGTACAGTTTGATAAAATGAATAGTTTCTCCAATATTGTGTCAATCACTACGCTATGTCTGTCGTATCCTAGCCGGCATAATGACTCCTGGTATTGGGCGAAAGGACTAGTCCCACTGGCTGTAGCAGACGGTTGACATAAATTCTTAGAATAGTTACACCCATGGATTCATAATGGAATTATGAAATGTCCAAATAAAACTTTCTAATGAAAGACTTAGATAACCTCAGAATTAAGACCGAATAGAGTAGCTTACCTCCAAGAGTTACTAAATAGCTGATCCGACTATTTTTGCCATTGAATGGTCTAGCTGACCTAATGAAAAACTCTAACGGAATAACTACTTTGACATGACAGATAATTCTAAAGAAAGATGTAACCAGTGGTAAAAGTGAAAGTTTGTATCTTGGGGAATGGGGATGGGGGGTAGTACCTAATGCACTAGGTCATTCCTTATAGAGAATGTTAAGATCACTAACTTACTTTTTCGTCAGTTCTTCTGAATAATGAACAGGTTAATTGAAAATGATACTAATTAATAATACATGATAGTCAATTAAATAAACAAATAATATAATCTAACCTATATCAAATCTAGTATGTTTCACGTCACGCTTGATTTCTCGAAATAGGAAGAGTCATAAAAGCCAAAATGCATTTATCCAGATAAAATAATTCGATTACTGTCTGACCATTACGATTTTAGTGACGGAGGTGCAAGGGGGACGTGAGGGGTGTGTGTTACGTAAAACCTTATAAGTGTAGTGAATGTTAGTATGATAAACCTAATGTAAAGACGTAGTGTTGCCTCACATAGCCCAGGGCCAAGTGCATAAAATTTATCAAGAAAATAAAAACATCGATTTAATTTTAAAGTTACATCGTTTCTGAATTAAGCTATTTTCTATGTATTAGAAGTTATTAATCTAATTGATTTTTACCACTGATTATTCTAAGAATACGCCTTATTCCATTTGTCACTATGTCGAGAACGCTTTCACGCTCCTTTTTTTTGGGAATACTTAACAATATATATCGTCGCTTAGCAACAAAACTATCATGGGGTGTTATAAAATGGTTTTTAACTGTTGTGGGATATTATACTGTCGAGAACGCTTCCACGCTCCTTTTTTTGGTAAGATCAACAATATACATCGCCCTTAGTAACAAAATTATTATGGGATGTTATAGTTGATCTTAACTATTATGGGCTGTTATAGTTGATCTTAACTATTACTACAAGAACAGCTAGCTGTTATTTAACAACGTTTCATCGAGCTCCTTTACGATCAAATCGAAAATTCCTCAACCGAGAATACAGATGCATTTTCACCATCAGACCATCAACAAATAAAGCCAGAGATTAAACCACAAGCATACCCCCATTCTAGTACTGTTGAAGGACGAGATGAATTCCCATCGTTGTCTGTTCCATTATCTGCAAATAATAGTGTAGCCATTTATCCTGAACTAACAGAAAACATTCGTTTAAATACTGTAAAATATAAGAAGAATGCTGTTCATATTACTGAAGAGGCCAGAAGACTAGAGCGAGGTAGTAAAGAAAACGAACTAAAGGATCGAATCCCAGAAAGCCGCCAATCGTGTATTGTCAAACCAAACAGTCGTTCTGGTTAAACTGAGCTGACCACTGACTTAGATATTCTGGTTGGTGATCTCAACAGGCAAGATGTATTTCAGTTTATATTTACATAACTCTAAATCATGATGCACATCAATCAAATGAATAAGTTTCCACTGAATCAATATCCAGCAATATAGTGTACCAAAGCAAAAAATAAAAGAAGAAGAAAAAAACATCACGAAAAGTCGTTTTGCCAGCGTGTCCTATCTTTGTAGGGATGGAGCTAGGTACGGGGGAAGGATATGAGAGGTATCTCTCCCCCTCTCGCTGATGGGATACAAAGGCCTCGACTGAGAAGTTTGACATTTAAATCTAAAAGTAGGCATTATGATTTGTATTTTTTGCGTATATAATCTTAAAAAAACAACCACATACAGCCTACATTAAGTATTATCAAAATTTACAATTTGATCTCTGAAATTTTCTTCTATATTTTGTTGCTCGCTCAAATAATTATAACGTAACAGTCTTTGTATCAATCGATTTTTTTTCGTAAAAAATAGGCCCGGCATGGCCAAGTGGTTAGGTCGCTCGACTCGCAATCTGCGAGTCGCAGGTTCAAATCCCGGTCAAAACCAAAGATACTTGCCCTTTCAGCCGTGGGGGCGTTATAATGTTACGATTAATCCCACTATTCGTTGGTAAAAGAGTAACCCAAAAGTTGGCGGTGGGTGGTGATGACTAGCTGCCTTCCCTCTAATCTTACACTGCTAAATTAGGGACGGCTAGCGCAGATAGCCCTCGTGTAGCTTTGCGCGAAATTCAAAACAAACAAACAATAATAAAAAATAAACTGCCATAGAATGATAAAAAGCGATTTATCAATATAATAACAACATGAAGATACTTTTTCAAGAGCTCATTATGTTACTAGGTCAATTAATTAACAAAGTGTTTAAAATTTCCCTTTTTAAGAGTACCGTATTTATCTAGTACTATATATTGTTATTGTACTGTATACCGCATGCTCACTTCAAATGCGAAAATATCATTCAGTGTATATTGCCATAATTTAATTAGGCGTAACCAGATCTGTGATACGGAAGGGCTTATAACTATTATACTTAAGATTTGATATCAAAGAAAATTCGCATTTTGAATTTTTAATGTTACGCACGTGGTAGCTATAACAATTTAATAAGGTAGAAATAAGATTTGATGTTACTTTAGTTACGGTAATAAAGTGCACTGGGAAATAAGTTCCTTGCTTTGCTGGTTCGAGCGCATTGTCATATGATAAGACATTAATGTTAGAATTATAGACGAAAGAGCCTTATCCCATACAATCTGTAGAAAGTAGAAACAACTTGGACTAATATAGCTCAACACGGACTCTTTAATTAAAACTAAAATGTAACTCATATGACAGGTTCACTGTAATATGTATTTAATTAAGCCTGGCATGAACCATGTAATTTAACAAATAACTAGACAGACATGAAGAAACAGTAACATGCAGACGCCCAAGATGATATGTTAGGCCATAAATGTTCGCATATCTTCAAATAAATAAAGAAAATACTATGCCAATCACACGAAATTTTTCAAGTGGATGAAGAAAAAAAACAACAAGATACTACACCACAGTAAAAAAACAAAATTTTTCAACTAGATAAAGAAAAATAAGATGCTTTCCTAAAATCCCAAAGTTCCTTAATTAGGTGAAGAAGATACTACACTAAACACACACGAAGTCCATCCAGTAGATAGGGAGGAAAAGATATTATACTATACACACACGAAGTTCTTCAAGTAGATAAGGAGGGAAATATACTAAACTAAATACACATGAAGTTCATCAAGTAGATAGGGAGGAAAATATACTACATTTAATAAACGAAGTTCATCCAGTAGATAGGGAGGAAAAGATACTACACTAAACACACAGAGTTCATCCAGTAGATAGGAGAAAAAGATACTACACTAAACACACAAAGTTCATCAAGTAGATAGGGAGGAAAAGATACTACACTAAACACATAAAGTTTATCAAGTAAACAGGGAGGAAAAGATACTACATGAAACACACAAAGTTCATCCAGTAGATATGGAGGAAAGATACTACACTAAACACACAAAGCTCATCAAGTAGATAGAGAGGAAAATATACTACATTAAACACACGAAGTTCATCAAGTAGATAGGGAGGAAAAGGTACTACATTAAACACACAAAGTTCATCAAGTAGATAGAGAGGAAAGTATACTCCATTAAACACACGAAGTTAATCAA